AGCACCTAAAACTATACCTTTCACAAAAGTCAATAAGTGAAAACTTAATTTCAATTTTTATCTGCAACTTGCTGTAACTTATAAATCTACTATAATGTATTAGATAAGTCTTAGGAGTTACCTGAGGCTCAAAGAGATTAAATAACTTTCTCATGGTCATATATCTACTAAGTGTCAGAAAAATGGAATTTTTCATCTTCCTAAGTTCAGTAGTCTCTATCCACTAAGCCAGGCCACCTTTCACTTTTCACATAATACATGCTTAATAAATGCTTGTTCTTCCTGGTAAGACAAATTGACTACATATATGTGTATATGCATATACATATACATATGCAAATATATATACATATACATACACACACACACACAAATATGCAACACTGGTTTTAAAAGAAACCCCATAGCAAAGGGGATTAACTTAACTTTTTTTCATATCATGTTCCCCTTTGACAGTCTAGTGAAGCTGATGGACCCCTTCTCAAAATGTTTTAAAATGAATAAAACAAAATACATATGATTACTAAGGAAACCAATTATATTGAAATATAGTTATAAAAATATTTTTAAAAACAAGTTCAAAGACCCCAATTAAGAACCTATAGAATCTTGAAGTGACAACTACCATTCTATGAGGACTTTTATGTGAAGAGACTATTTTACTGTCATAGCTAGACTGAGGGAGGTACAGAGAGAGAGAAAGTCTTTAGAGACCTGAATTCTTGAGAAAAGACTTTCCTTGTTCTCTTGAGTAACAATCGTGGGATTATGTTACATAACTCCAGGGAAATCAAGAACTGTAGTGACAGAAAAAGATAACTTTGGCTGTGATCTTTCCCACAGTTTAAGCATTATAAATAAATCTAAGAGATTAGGGATATAGGGATACGAGCAGCTGCTTATGGAAAGAAGTTTCCAAGTTTATTTTAGACAGACAGATACACATACATATTTATATAAAATTAACTGGACCTAAAAAGCACTTAAACAGGACAGAGAGCAAATGAATTTTTTTTGTGGATTTGTTGTATGATTCTGCTTTGTTAAATGTTAAGGGTTTTTTGTAAAATGTTCATTTGATTATTGTTGTTGATGGCAACTACACTTCTTATTATAAAACACAATTATTCAATCCTGACTGGAATCATTCCTCAATCCATATATAATTTGGAGAAGGCTCTTACTACACCATAGCCAGAATCCTTCTCTTCCCCAGCTATCCTGCTGTGACTTGAGCATCTCTCATTTTTCTTCCCTTTCACTCCAACATCTGCATGTATCAGCCAAGGACCCTCAAAGGCCATTTGTTTGAATCTTATATTAGTCCCACCTGGTACCATCTACCTCCCATCAGCTACTGCTTGCCTTGCACACACTAGGCAATGTATATGAACTGAATCGTACTGGTGGGTGGGATTCAATCTTTTCGCTATACTTTGCTGCCCCTCTGAAAATGCCTACTTAAGATACAATTTGTCATTTGCCTTATTATCTCAATTAAGAGATATGAATAAAATTACTTTGATGTATGGGGATTCACAACATTTTTAGATGTTAGATTTAAAGCAGGTTTCTCATACTAGAGCCAATATTCTATATGAAAGAATTAGAGTTTCACACGACCTGAATAGTAGAGCTGAAGGCAGAATGTTAAGGGCCGCTATGTAACATGGCATAGTAGCTGCAATACTGGAGTTGGGCTCAGGTAGATTGTTTGAAATCATGCTTCTGGCACTTAATGACAAGGCAATTAGGGGGCAAGCCACTTAAAAATACTTTGCTGATCTTAAAGTGCTGTATGTCAACTTTTTAAAAATTTAACCCTCTCATTTTACAGAAAAGAAAACTGAGGCCCCGAAAGTAGAGGGACTTGCTAAAAGTCATACAAGTAACACAGCTAATTGGTGTCAGAGCCAGGACTCAGCTTGGGTCAACTGACTTCCCCAACCTAGAGCTCATTCCACTATAGCTCAGTGAATATCTAGATCCCAGGGGCATTGAGAGGCAGAATATATTTCACTAGAAAGAAGAAAAAGGGGAGGGATAGGAATGGAAATCAGATTCTTTTCACATTGACTTTTTTCTATTTTTATTATTCATTTTGTAAAATGATTAAAAGTTATTGAGCTCAGGAGGTTGGGGAGGAAACAGAGTTTGTTGATGTCTGTATAACAAATCAAAGAGTCTGTCCCACTGATTATTCTCGATTCCTGCCCAGAATTGAAGGAAGACCTAGATTTGAAAGAAAGTCAGTTAAAAGAAAGGGAAAGGAAGGAAAGGATATCAGAAGTCAATTCCTCCCAGGGATTTAGTGTCCTCCCTACCCCCTTCCAGTCCCAACCCAAAGGTATTGAGTGGCCAGTGTCTAATCCTAGCACTCACTTAAGATAGGTTGACACTAACATCTGTTTCAGGGAGATATGTAGGATGTGGAGTAGTATGGGACTGAACTGCCCATGCAGAGGGAGCAAGAGGAAGGCCATATAGATTATAACTGTCAGAAGATAGAGAAAGAAGATATTGGGGCTGATAACAAGAAATCTGGGAGATTCACTATTTGAAGCTCCACCCAAGAAATTCTTCCGCTTTCTCTTCTCCCCCATATTAGGCACTGGATCCCAGAGACCCTACCCCAAGGGTCCCTGTCTTTAAAAGGAACCTGAAGACAAGCAGTTGAGAGTCATGGGGTAGAGAAATCAGAGAAAAGAGGGGAGAGAGACTATAATCATAACCTCACTATTCGCCATGAATACTAAACCACTTAACCTCCTGGAAGGTGGGAACTTCCTCATCCAGTACCCTGCAAATGGCAGGTTCTTAATAAATGCTTGCTGATTAATTCATCAGTTTGTGGTATAGATCAGACGGTTTGTGAACAATAGGTCTCTGCTGCATGAACTTTAATATTGTCTATTTCTGTTCAGTCTTCAACCCTACAGGATTCCAATGTCTCCGTGTGCTCTCTGTGCACCCTGCTGTAAAGGACTGGGGCGGGGGGGGGGGGGGGGGGATGGGAGCGGCAGGAGCTGATCATATACATGGGCTTGAGCAGATGGGGAACAACTCAGGCTCTTAAGTCCTGGGGCATCACGGGCAGGGGGCTTCCCAATGGAAGGAATACCTTTGAGTCCTGTCACTGGGTCTCTTTCTCCTTCCATTGTGGTGCCCAGGGATGACATCTCACACCTTTGAAGAGGGGTTGAGGGAGGAGAGAAAGGGGATTGGAGAAGTTGACAAATGATGGCCGAGGGAGCCCTAGAGCCTTCCCAAGAGCCCAGCGACAGCTGCTGGACACAGAAACGCTTCCTTCTCAGACAAGAGGGACAGAATGGGGGTACCTAAAGAGAACTGGGTGAGGGCCAAACGTGGTGACCAATTAAGCAGGCAGTGGAGGCTGACCTATCCTGCAAATGCCTCCACATCTCTCTGCCCCTGGGACTGCTGAGGCTCAGCAGAGGTAAGGACATGGATCCCACCCCAACCAGACCCCGGGGCACGAAGGCCGGCTCCCCGGGCACAAAGCACCGCCGGGGGTGGCCGGTGCCTGCATCCCCTGTACTGTCGCCCGCCCTCGCCTCGCAGGGGGAGCGCGGGCCCGAGGCTTCGAAGGGTCACGGCCGCCCCACTGGTCTGTTCGGAAACCCAGGTCCGACGGAAAGACACGGACCGGGACCAAAAGCCTGCAAAGAGAGGGGCCTTCCCCCCGCTCGGACTCTGTTCTCACACCCACCGGACCCACAACCTCCGATAACCCGGCGGCCCCGAACTATCCCAGCAGCGAAGTTCGGATAATGGAAAGAGAGGTTCCCGGACCACGTCCGGACTGGAAGGCAGACGGAGAGGGGCGGGCTCGGGAACCAACGTCCTGATTGGGCAATCGGCATAGGAAGGGCGGGCTTGGGAACCGGGAGGGGACGGGTTCAGAGAACCTATGCTCTGATTGGGGAACCGACAGAGGGGCGGGCTCGGGAACCAACGCCCTGATTGAGGAACCGGCAGAGGAGGGGCAGGCTCGGGGACCAACGCCCTGATTGGGAGGCTGGCAGAGGGGCGAGCTCAAGGACCAACGTCCGGAATGGGTGGAAAGTACAGAGGAAGGGTGCGTGGCCTGATTGGCAGGTTGGCGGGTGCGCGAGAAGTACTCTGGCAAGACCTCCCCGTTTCTTCTGCTCCTAAAGAATCTCCCAATCCTCGCCCCTTTCCCCCTTCGTTTCCCAGGTCTCGCCCCTTGTAGCGTCCCGCTAGTGGCTGCATGACTCGGAGCCGTCAGTAACGCCTCTGTTTCTGGGACGTTCAGCCCCAAGTCTCTAATTCTGTCTGCACTGTCCAACTCTGACTCTGCAGAGCTTGTGCCAGCGCAAAGGTTCAGGTTTTCCAACTTTGGTTCCGAGCTCAACCTGCCGGCTCACATTGGGCGAGGAGGCTGCCCATCAGCCCGAGGGTGGGCGTTGGACTCTGCTCGTCCTACCCCTCCGAGCCGTAGAACTACGCCTAGTGGTTAACAGAAAATTTCGGATCTGTACGCCCCGCCTAAGGGCACTTTTCATTGGCTCAAATACACATACGTGGCAGTTGCTCAATTGGAGTCTCCTGGGAGGGGAACGTAACGACTTGGACTGTCCTGCAGGGATTGAGGGTGGGGCTCTGGACGTGGACATTTCCTAGGTCCACCCGCCCTCTGCAAGACTGAGACTTCCCTTGCTGGGCCATCACCGCGGAGAGCGGTGACCTGGCCTTCCTCCAGGCCTCCCCTTACGGTTACTTGCTGAGCCCCGCACACCGTCTTCCCTCTGTCCACCTACAGCCCGGGTCCAGCCGCCTGCATCTGGGCAGCTTGCCTTGATGAAGAAGGGACAGAAATCGATCAGTTAGGAGGAGTAGCCTGTTTGGGGCTGGGGGTGGGGGTATGATAGAGGCTTTTTTTTTTTTTAAGTTTCAGCAAACTAAAAAATCCTTAACATCGACCCTTCTGTCCCTCCAGTCTTCAACCAGACAAGTTCTGATTCTTCTGTCTGGGTGAACTTTATTTGTATTTCATAGAGAAAGTATGGCGGTAAGGAGGAAATTAGGTAGTAGTTTGGTGCAGGTCATCTCAGTCCGTGGCTGGAAGCTGGGAAGGACACTTCTTTTTGCTCAGGTTGGTGAGGATCTGGTCCTGGTTTGACCGATATAGGACCACAAAACTGTTGGGGGGGAGCACTGCGCTTCCCTTTTCATCCACGCTACCCATCAGCAAGTAACTAGCCCCTAAAGGAAGAGTGATAGGTTGGAGGAATAAATCAGGCAAGAGGGTCTATGTCCCTCACCTTCCCCGTTTTTGTTCTTGGAACCCACAATATGCACATCCCCCACCCAAACTTTACCTCTCTCCCCTAGGCTCTCTTACCTTTCTTTATTGGGGGACACTGCCGGCAGGGTACATACAACTTAAGTGGGGTTCCAACGGGAGTGGAAGACAGGACAAGAGCCCCTGCCTTGTAGACACCCATGAGGGTGATGGTAACAGTGATCCCTTCTCCAGGACCCCGAACCATTGATTTCACTGCCCCTGTCACCACTGTGGAGAAAACAGACAAGAAAGATCAGAAAATAAGTTTAGGGAGGACTCACTAGGAATCCCATATGGTGGGCAGGATGACTAAATTAGCTGAAGGTCACAGGATAGAGCAAAGGCTAGGAAGCTGAGATGGTAATGGGAGATTGATATAAGGGAGAGAAGGAGTTGGGGGGGGAGTGGGGGAAGGAGGAAGAAAGAGGAGAAAGGGGAAGATATTGAGGAGTTCAGGAAGACATAGTATGTGCTTAATAAAGCTTGTTCATAGACTGATGCAAGGAGCAGGAGAAGGCTCCCCCCAACCCCAGTCTATTGATAGAAAATATGAGGGAGCAGGATTCTTGGCTTCCTTACCAAAGTCACTGGTACAGAAGTTGCTTTGTAGAGTGCCCGTTCTTCGGCATTGTTTTGGGCAGGGTGTACTAGGAGCATCTATGAGGGAGGAAATCTATCAGCTTTATGAGGGATCTATTCCTCCTCCTCCCTCACCTCACCCCCAACCCAGCTTCATCTTCCCCAACCCTAAAAGTTCTAAGTTGTACTTACGTGTCTTAGTATCCAGGGCCCAGATTCCTATTCTACTAATCTTCCCTACCCCCAGCCCCTGCTTCCCTCCCTGAACTCTGGTATCTAACCAACCATGCTTACCAGAGTCTGTGGCAAGGGTAGGTTTTGGGTTCTCCTGGACTGGGGTCTGGGGTTTGGTAGGAAGTTTGACCTTAGGCCCTGGCTGTGGTTGTGGAGGAGCTGGAACAATCCCCTCCTTCCCACTGCCTCGGGGCTGGGCTTTATAGGAGGCAGAGAATCCATCAGCAGTGACACTGAGATCTGAGACAAACTGGACCAGGAGTTCATTTCCTTCTGAGGTGATGGAACTGAGGGAAGGGAGGATAGTAGGGTGTCAGGGGAAGGAATGGCCCAAGCTGTGGTGCCCTCAGATTTTTCTCCAAAGCCTCTGTTCCTATCTCTTCTGCTCTTTTCCCTCTCTCCTTCCCCTTTTTAACCTCCCCAACCCATTCAGTATGGGGACCTGTGTTTTTAAGTCATGGTGCCTTCTATTTGATTCAACACTTTCCCTTATAACTTCATCCCAGCCACTAAAACTTGCCCTTCTAACAGGCCCTATTCACTCACCTCGGGGCAGTATCCCCACAATACTTCCCCAGTCTTTTTGAATCATCACTTTGAGCCCCATTAAAAATGCTGACTGAGTCATATCGGCAGTAAGTGTCTGGCTCCAGGTCAAATTTCCCAAAGGTCAGAGAAATCACCTAGTGAAGAAGAGAAGGGAACTGGTCAGCTAGATACTTGGCTTTTAAGGGGAAGTACTGCAGAGAAACCAGATGCTTAAGTTCCCTTGAAGGGCCTAGGGAATGTTACCTGTTCTGGGGGAGCAATGATGAGCCAGGAACAGCTGACCCCAGGGGGATAGTCAGACTCAGGCCAGTTGGGTGTGGTCAGGGTACCTTGGGGCTTCTCCAGCCGACCCCCACAGAACTGATGCTCTGGATAGAGAAAGAGAGATGGGGTGGGGGCAGGGAGAGGGATAACTAGTGTTCAAGGGCAGGGGAAAAGGAAGTTCAAGTATATGGATCCCTGAGTGGAAGAGAGTTGGGGGGAGGTAAGGAGAGGGGGAAAGTTAGCAAAAAAGAGAGAATAAAGAAGAGTGGGAATCTGACTTTGGGCATAAAGGCACCCCCAAATTTCCCCCACTTCCCCACCCTAGGAAAATGATAGGAATTAGCTGGAGGGTCCCAGCCCACTCCCCAGACTCTTATTCTCCCTCCCTATTATTCCTTGGCCACATTTTTCCCTTTCCCAAGGGAGATCTTATCCCTCCCCCTCCAATTTTGCAGAATTCTTCCTGGTTTTTTTCCTTTCAGCTGGAAGTTTCCCAAATTTGGGGGCTTCCCAACCCAAGGCTTTTGGGGTGCTCTTCACTCAAATGGGGGAATGCCTCTTCTAATGCTTCCCTCTGATCAAAGTGGTCCTTATTTTTTAAGGGGTGTCTTCTGCTATGGGGATGGGATGATGGGACTATAATCAGAATTCCAGGGCTGGGTTTGGGGGGTAATCTAGGACAGGGGGAATATATATATCC